CCCGTGTACACTCGTACTTACAGCAAGAATAGCATACAAAACACGTGAGGTCATCTTATAGACTAGATTGCGAGATTATATATAATCATGATTATATGCTATAATTCCTGACATTATATTTGGTTCAGTCATTGATTCGAACAAATATTTGTTGTTCCTCCATACTTCAGGATTATGAACTTACAATATTCCTCAGACAAGAGTGGCACGATCCTCGATTACGTCACAACTCAACAAGTACAATAGTCATCAACGGTGGTGATGTAATGAACATAGTCTGGGTACCGGATCTGTTTTTCACTAACGCGAAGTCAGTCACGATTCACAGCACTCCAAAAGAGAACCTTCTACTAAGGATAGATCCAAGTGGTAAGTTTTGTACAGTTTAAGGTTAGATATGATGAATACGCTCTGTACTGGGTTTCAACAGTTACCAATCAGTTATTATTGGTCATACATAGTAGATTATATTGAAATACTGAAATCGTGTTTGCAAAATCCTATTGGAATTTCCGTTCTGTGATTACAACCGCAATTGTACAAACATAATAATATCTATTGAGTGACCCTTTATATCAGTTTTATGTAAATTAGGTGCAATTGTCATAATTTCCGAACTATCACGACACGCGTAAAATAAATATAATGACATGATCTTAATAACTCGTGTTCATCAGCAGATACTAACATGAGCACGCGCCCTACGCGTCTTAGAGCGCCATATTTAATGGCATACAAGAATGTATTTTATTCGACGTACATTATGGCCAGTTTATCGCTTGCAAATAAACAAATAATTAATTTTAGGAATAATCAATGCGTTCCGAAATACGAAGAAACCTAGCCTACACTTTACTACATATTGGGTTAGTTCTATCCTCGCGTATCCTATGCAGCGGTAAAAACCAATCCCGGGGGTTGGCAAGATTTGGAATATTAGAATTCCTCAGAAGTGAATTTAAAATGAAAACACACATTGAAGAATGCTCAGAGCTATCGTTCTATAACGGTAACAATAAATTGATCTTTTTTTTTCTCAAACAAGGATAAAAAACTAAATTCTTTAGTCACCAAACAGACAATAAATTTGCATTTCAGAAAAGACACGAGTTAGTGACGTTAATTATTAGTATCATTTCAATATAACTAGTCAGTGTTTTATTTTCTTCCATGTAGACTAAGTTTGGTGTTATCGTGTTATATGTTTCTTGGTAAATTTCCTATGGATACGCAGGAATGTCATATGCAACTGGAGTCATGTAAGTACAAATTAACATAATAAGTTTGATCTAATTGGACATTTGAACATATATTTACCACTTTTATTTATTTATTTATTTATTTATTTATTTATTTATTTATTTATTTATTTATTTATTTATTTATTTATTTATTTATTTATTTATTTATTTATTTATTTATTTATTTATCCTGAAATTCACGCTAAACGCGATTTTCAATGTATGCGGCAAACATTAGTATTTACTCATACTACACAAATGTCCTGGTAAATGAGAATTTGTAGATGAATAAAAATTCACGAACTATATTTTTAACATTAACATTTTAGATTCGTATAACACGAAGGAATTACTGTTGACGTGGTTACGTAATACCACTGCCGTTGAAATTGACGATGATGTTGAACTGCCGCAGTATTACCTTGAACGAATTGAGAAGTATAATAATGTGACACATTATATGACGGGTAAGATCAATCTTAACACGTTCGCCATGATACATAAAGCGGAGGAGTCGTTGCCTGCGCATGCGTCAGATGGCTATAGCGTGTCATTGTTTACAAACAAGCGTCTACCCATGAGCCTTTGCGTTTTTAGCGTGTGTTGTTATCGTCGCTTGAGACTCAATTCCCGCGCGTGCGCAGGTGACGACCCTCCCGCTTTAAATATCTAACTTTGGCATTGCTTGCTAGTATATAATCGTAACTTGTAGATAGGCCATGCGTAGTTTTCCGAATAGCTTATATGGTATAACCTCATTAAAAATGTATTAATCTTAATATCGTATTAGGATGAAAAAAGGTTTCATGAATAATGTTTACGCATTTTTCACCAGTTCAAATGAACACTAATTCACCTGCCACTGCAGTAATTCAGCAAAACTAATTTGAAAATAGAAATATAGAGCGCCAACTCGCGATGGATTCCTACTGTAATAGAGGTAACACGACGATAAATTTAGATACTGTTTAATGAATATTTTCTTAGCTCCGATGACATTTTTATTACTATTTACAGGCGATTTCACACATCTGGGTGTTGGTTTTTTTCTGGTTCGGAGTCTTGGATTTTACGTGCTGCAAGCATATGTACCGAGTTCTCTCTTGGTGGCGCTGTCGTGGCTGTCGGTCTGGGTGGAGATATCTGCCGCGCCTGCCCGCGTGGCTTTAGGTGTAACTACTGTTTTAGCATTGGTCACACAGGCAACGTGGTTACGCAGCCAGTTACCTAAAATTGCCTACGCGACGGTGAGTTACATATTGTGCATTTGTTTAACTGTTTGAACTGTATTTTTTTCTCGGTTTTTGCCTGACGTATGTGAACCCTATTCAATGATCTGTATACACATCGAAACAAGTTTAAACTATTTTCGCGTGTAATGATGATGCTATTTTTTTATTCTATTCCGCAGGCTATTGATGTATGGATGGTTACTTGCCAAGTCTTTGTATTCTTAGTCTTATTAGAATATTCAGTGGTGTATTATTTATATTCACTTGAAAAAGGACAGTACGCAGAGAGAAGAAAAAAACGAGAGCACAGAAGAACAACACGTATGAGGGAAAATTCAACGAGAGACGAGCACGAGGTTTCTTTTATAATAATTTAGACTTTGAATTAATAAATAACACACACCACGATGTTAATTCAGAACTTTTCACAGCAATATAATAAGAAGGTTTGAATTGATCGCATAATCATATTTATTATTTTAAACCAACGTACTCACTTCTTACAAGTATGTAACCGTAATATAGCCACAAACAGCACTTAACTGTTTTTAGACGCAATAAAAAAATGAGGTGTTGTGTTTTTAACGGCTGGGCAAATTACTAAAAACATTAAAAAGCATATATGGCGTTATTTGTGCTTAGAGAAATAAAAAACTACGTGAATACATAATGCACGCTTTAATAACAATAGTATTCACGACCTCGATGGTTGAATATGTCTTATATTCACCTTTCTTATTTTCTACATGTTTATACCACCAGCAAGAGAATCTGAAGACAGCAGCCAACCAGTTTTCTAGGAGTGTCAGTTTTGAAGATGGGAATTCAAATAACATTGAGACTGAGAAGTCGGTCCTTCCGAATCGAGGTATAGTACGATTAAGACCGAAAGTACGCCCACCATTGATGAGGCAAGAGACACAAGTATTAACAACGACAGAGTTGATGCACGATTCCAAGAATAAGACAGACTACTTATGCGTAGCTTTAATGGTTGACAAACTCAGTCGAATAATTCTACCGTCAATATTTTTGATCATGTGTATAGTTTACTGGTCTTATTATCCTATTCATAAGCATAGCTACTCGGTAAATTAAATCTGTCACATAAATCGCGCAGGACAAGAGTTGCTGTAGAAGACACTTCGTCAAACATATATATATATATATATATATAATTATTTTCGAAACAACATTGAGTGTGGTGAATTGAAGTCCATCGTGAATCTCGATTTCTTTTCTAACATTTTGTTAGTTCGTTACACATCGTCATTATTAATTGACCACTGCCTTTTACATATTTAAGTGCAATATTTTCAAGTCACGTTTGTTCACCTTTTGCTCAATACATTCAATAAATGAGGAGTGTAAAGTTTTACAGTATTTTTTTTTTGGTTTATGTAATATGTCTGTTTTATAACAGTCATGATTGGAATGTATTGTATCTGAACTGTGACTGTTAACTTATCGCAAACTGGTGAATATTAGTGTTGTTTGGAATCAAAATTCGTTGCCTAATATCCGATAAATCATGTAGCATCAAATAGTTTGATTCATTTTAATTCTAATGTTACATGAAAGTCTTACTGTTGATATATATCATCACTCAATGTGTGGTATAACGCAATTTCGATCACAGGTTTCCTTGAAACGATAAAATATGGCAATGTTTGTAACAATTTTATGAATAAAATACATACCATCATTGAACGAATTTCGTATAGAAAAAAATAGGCCAAAACAAACGACTAACAAGGGTGGACAGAATAATTTACAACAATATAAAATACAACTGACTATTCCATGTTACGTAGTCAACTTGAACCGGTGAAGGAAAATATGTGGACTTCATAGTACGCATGAAGTGACATCATGTGTTTCTGAAATGAGTGAATATGGACGTGTTGATGCGATATTTGAAATACTCCCAGTGATGTATGCGACATTCAATACAGATACAGTTGTGTTACAAATCGTATCATTCACACTGCCTGCTGAGAAGTGAGACACTGTCAACATTTGGTGATGTTTATATTATATAAAAATTTAATAGCAATTCACCCTTGTAGGACATAATCAAAAACGAAATATTCAGATTGAAAAGACCAGAACACAACAATTCCCGTGATTAGGTTTTAATTATAGTTATATATTATTATTACACCATAAATTATAACTCTAGACAAATGGTCTCGATTACGTGCAATGAGCGCACTAACGGAATATGTATATATTTCTGCCTAGATGATATAATTTAATTGCATGCATACACAGCATATATAAATCATTGTGATTTGCGCCCTCTATAGTTGAGATCAGTTTCTTTACTTCTTGTTCATTTTTAAGCCGAGGTCGCTGTAGCAATAGTCATGGTTACAGACTGGTCAATTCGGTATATATTTCGGAAACACTATTATTATTGTGCATCTCGCCAGGGCACGATGAGGTGCTATTTTGACCTTACAACAATGAACAGAGGTTAGAAATCTGGCCGCCTATTCAAACCCAGGAAGAATGTAACTACAATGCACACCATTGCACAGATCAGTCAGTACCCAAAACCACATAACGGCCGTTCCGCCAATAATATCGAAATATGAGACTCACAGTGAGTGGCTATTACAAATAGGACTATTGTGATCGTGCATAATACATCGGGCAGCTATCAATAAGCTTCGTTTGATTCTCGAACAGAATAGCCAGATCTCACGAGAGTAGAAATAAAGAAACAGTTCTCAACTGCAACTGTAGAGGGTGCAAATCACAATAGATGCTAAGAGTATGATTGGTGTTGTGGGGGGGGGGGTAGATTCGTTCGTTTTATAGATCTTTATATCAAACATTTAACCGTTTATAGAATAATGCATGTATGTGTTTATTCATATAACATTTAATTGACCGTGTATTTCTTAGAATCGTCATTTTCATATATTCGTATATCATTCATGCATGTAGTTCTATGGGAAACTAGCACACCCAGTGGTACTTCAGCAAACATTTGTTCGAATGTCGGAGTAAGCATCACGTTTATAATGGTGATTTGATACTCATAATGTCTCCCGCCTTAAAATTGTTACTCGGTGGGCTCTAAAGCGACGTTGTATGTTTAACAACCAAACACAAACATATATTTCAACGTGTCATCAAACAAACACGTTCTAAACCTAGTAAAACAAAATACTTGTAAAACAAACTAGTTTGATTATACTTCGCACTGTTTTATTGTCTTCATGGTGTTTCCATCGCATATACGATCCGGGGGGCAGTTGATACATAGCTGGGTAGGGAGGTGCTCCTGAGTGCTCAAAAGTGTGACCATTTTTATACCTGGATAGTGCCAAAATTTATACCCATAATTTGACTATATAAACACCTCTATCACTTACTTAAAAGCATATTATTAACACAATGTTCAGATTATTTAGGTTGTTAAATGAGAAACAACAGTTCGCTTTCTCTTTGATCTCCTTAGGGGTCCGCGATCAGAAACTGGAGGTTGAAAAATAAACCATTTAACGATATTTATACTTATACCAAAGAACGAGACCCATTTCAGGGCATGTCCCCATTAGGCAAGTTGTATGTATTCCCCTCCTCCGGGATACGAACGTCAGTGCGGCTGAGTCCAGTACTGCAATTCTAAGGCCATGTCAGGGTTGTATTATCATTTCGGAGGGAGTTGATTCTGAAAGAAACACACATACGACCACCACATGTGACGGAATCTGATTTAATGTCCCTCAAAAATAGTTTGCAATATAAATATCTCAACTATTTATCTGAAATGAACACGATCGTAACGTGCTTATGAAATGAAACACACACATGGTAATTGTACACCTTCATTTCAAACACAATGCATATGCTTATATGTTTTGAACATTTAAAATAAAACGAGTGGAGTTGTTAAAACCGACCTCAAAATCGTCAAACTTAACAACAAGTTTATTATAAATAAAATATAATATCATAAAAAAAATCTTATATTTTTATAAATGATATGACTGTGACTGAGTAATACCATTTTGCAATAAAAATGGTCTATTTTGCATGTTGAATAGCCGTCTCTACGGGGGCTTGTTAGGGCCATTTACTGTTTTTTCACCTGTATTTTTCGGCTTCCTTTCGAATTTCCGACAATTTCACTTTAATTTACACTTCGGTGGAAAATTTTAAACCGCGGTGAGAATAATTTTCTCCGCGGTGGAAATATTTAAACCGCGATGGGAATTCGAAAAACAGTGAATGGCCCAAACAAGCCACCGTACGCCTCGGTCATTTAGAGACAGACACTTGGGTGCATTTGGCCCCGGGCAGTTGGGTCCCTTGTTTTGGACGTCCAGTGAATGGCTTCCCCCTAAAATTTAAAAAGCCTAAATTATGAGAAGAGTTAAAATGACACAGCAGAAGAGACACGCTGGACTGGGACTTGAGTGTAAACCAAAGCGTATTTGACATGTTACTGCATGTACAAAACACCAGGTCGATGTCCTTTGTACCGTGACCTTCTTTTCACCTTATTTTGACGGAGCCGTGGGGAACTTTTGTAACGTCAGCAACAAATTAAACTTCAGAAATTCCAATGGGTGGTAGTTACCCTTGCAATATACTCATTTAATATGAAGTTCATGTGTAATCAAAATGCTTGTGTTAGTATAATAACCAAGTTGTCGAACGCCAATACAAAATACACCACACTCAATATACCTACCTCCCCCAGATAATAAATGGCCTGTGCTATGTACGCTGGGTCCTCGGTTTATAAACACGTGGGTGTCAGGTCAACGTGCATTACTCGTAGACACTGTTGTTTTGTGAACCTGTACTCTAATCATGGAGGTAAATCCTGATTTACAGATGGAGAGAGATGGCGCTACTTTTGACCCAATAGAACTGACTTACATTAAAGATGGCGGTGCCAAGGTTACACAACGAAGACGTTATATAGGTAATCAAAATGCATTTACAATATTCAATCTCGTTCGCATGCGCAGTTCAAGTCAGTATAGATATATACACGAGCAAAATCATTCCAGAATTAAGGTTTGGCAAGAACATTGTAGGCATTTGAGTAAGTTGGGGCACGGATCTAGAAGCCGTACCTACACACGAATTGGTGACGTCACAAAATACATGACCTTCAATCGGGGTCGTTTCCTCGGTATATACGAATTGGTATATACAAATTACAATAAAGATACTTAAGACATTACACATAAGGTAAAATAAATCATGTGACAATATAATGATAATAACGGTAATAAATCCTAGCTTAACAGTTGAACAGAACGATCATATAGTCAGTCGGGTGACGCCGAGGGTCACGCACTTGTTGCAAATGGCCGTGTGTTTGAAACTGGGTCATG